TCTCTCTCTCTCTCTCTCTCTCTCTCTCTCTCTCTATATATATATATATATATATATATATATATATATATATGGACGCAGCTGCTGTCGAGTTAGCTGAAGTCGGAGACTCGTACGCACCTTTTTTTTTTTTTGCTGTATCAAAAGCATGATATTAATTTTTAGGAAATATTTTCTTTCCTATGGTTGTAAGATAAATAATATAAATTGTCCGGTGAACAAAATATGTCAAGATTATATATATATATATATATTGTCGGGAAAATGTGACATGAGGAATAATTTTCAAAAATAAGACGCATGCGAAGGAATCAATGTTGAAGCTTGCTTGACAATTCCCTTGCTAATGATAACTCCTTTAAAAGGTAGTAAGATTTTATTTTACTATTTATAATTTTGGTGTTATTGATTTTATTTATTTTTTATAAATTTTATTTTATCCTAATTGTCAATATCACTTTCTATGGACGTCATTGTCACTAACGTTGTTGCCACCTTCGACACCTCCTGATTGACTATTGTTGTTGTTGACATCCACACGATAACCCCTCAACGCTTGTTGTAAGTGTCGTCAGAATAATACTACTCAACAAGCGTCGTCAGAATAATACTACTCAATGTAGTCAGAATAGTATTTATGATTTGATATGTATTTTGAGTGACGTAGGATGCTTCGATCAGGGAGAGACAATTAAAACAAGAAGAATCATATTGGGCCGGAGGAAAATATGTCAAAAGATTAAACGTCGAGCCGGAGGATCGGTCGACGTATCAACAGAATGCTTCGGGCTATGGATTCGGGCATCGGGCTAAGAAGAGTGGATATTACGCCAAGGATATTGGAGTTGCGGAGGTCAAGTGGTCGATTGGGTAATAGGTCGCAAGAGAGGATGATGCGCCGAAGAATCGGACAAAGCATTGATGGATCAATGACATGTTGGACAATATGATTCATGCTTAGTAATAATTGTCTAGATCGAAGTGTGTTTTATGTGTGTAGGATTAACTACGATTGCAAGACATAAAGCAAAATGAAATTTCGGAGTCAAGAACGTGATTTCGTTGGGATTTCGAAAATTCGTCGGAAGTCCGGACGTTCGTCGGAAGTTCTGCCGGAACCAACCGAGAAGTCCAGGAGCTTGCCAAAGAAGCTCGTCGAAACTCGCCAAGAAGATCGTCATGAAGTTCAGGAGCTTGTCGGGAGTATGCCGGAACATTTCCGAGAGATCATCGGAAGTTCACCGGAAGATCGCCGGAAGAAAATGGACTTATTTTACTTAGAATATATCTTAGGAATCGTAGTTAGCATATAATTAGAGTTGGGATTCGGAGGTAATCCCATCAACTTTGTTAGGAGCCAATTGGGCCTGAAGTTGGGCTGGTTTGGGTCGGATTCAAGGCCCAACTAGGATGCTGAAAGCTTGGCCGACGGTGGCACCGCTTGAGGAGTGGTACTGCCCCTGTCAGGCAATGGTACCACCCAGTGGCAGATCCTACGGCGGTAGCACCGCCCAGGAACGACGGTGGTACCGCTAGTACCTAGGAAACCTAGGATGAGACCTTTTTAGGCTCCAAGTTTGAATCAACTTGAAGCCTATACATATCCCTCTCATCCTTGGTTAATTTAAAGCACACACAGAGAGTTTAAAAGTGAGAATACATTGTAGAAATCACTTGAGAAATCTCCTCTTATAGCTTAAACTTAGAATTCTATTTAGAGAGGAGTGTGTGCTCATAAAGGTTGTCTCCTAAACCTGTGAAAAGGAGAAGAGAAGTGTAAAAGGGTAGTTGATCTTCGCTCGTTGAAAGAAGATCGATAGTGGATGCTGGTGACCTCGATGGAAGAAGAATCGACGGAGTGGATGTAGGTCACGATGATCGAACTACTATAAAAATCTGGTTTGCCTTTCTTTTGTAAAATTTATCTTACTACAAACCTCAATACTATGCTTTTACTAATCCTATACTCACATATGCTTTCAATCTAAACATATTTTCGAAATCGATTTTATCGTACGAAACGAAAGAATTTTCAGAACCGACGTGATTTTTACCGTTGCACTAATTTACCCCCCCCCCCCCAGTGCCGACTCATTCCTAACAGTTGATATCAAAGCTTCGTAATTTCTCATTTGGTTTAACACCTAAGAGAAATGACTCTTTTTAGCTTTTAAGAGGGTCACTCTCTCGTTCGTTCTCCCTTATTCAATGGGACGAACTACACATATTGAAAAACTCGAATGAGAGTTTTCTTACTTTCATTATATTCGAATTTATGTAATTTTGTCGAAAGCGGTTTTCGAAGGTCTTCTTTTCCAATGAACCATTGGAATGATTTGGAGAATAAGACTTATTCATTAAATACTTTATTTTGTGCCTTAGACAAAATTGAGTTTAATCATATTTCTATGTGTGAAACGACTTTCGACATTTAGCACATTCTTGAAACCACACACGAATGCACTAGTAGAGTAAAAGTTTCGAAGATTAATCTTTTAATGCATGATTTCGAATTATTTCATATGAAACAAAGCGAAACCGTTGTTGACATGTACACCCGTTTTATGGATGTCGTCAATGATCTAAAAGCTCTTGGCAAATGCTTTTCTAATTTTGAACTCGTTAACAAGATTTTACGACCACTTTCTAAAAATTGAGATTCAAAAATAACGGCTATTCAAGAATAAAAAAATTTGAATACTTTTTTGATCGAAGAACTTATCGGGTCTCTAATGACCTATGAAATGACGTGCAGTGCATGTAAAGAACTTAAGAATCATATTCCAAAGAATAGGAAGGATTTCGGACTAAGAACAATCGAAGACCACTCAAGTATAAGCTCAAGTGATGGTGAACTTAAAAATATACTTCCTATTCCTCATGAAATTTAAAAATAAAAAATAAAAAATTAAAAATATACTTAAAAAGAAGAAGAAGGTGACTTAGGACAAATCGAGTGCCTCCGAAGACGAGGAGAAAATCAACAAAGGCGAGGTGGCCAACTATGCCTTAATGGCATTCGACAATGAGATAAACAACTCAAACGAAACTCCTTTAATTTATTTCGAAATTACATAATGCTTTTTATGAGTTATTCTTAAATTAGTTTAGAAAAATTATATATATATTTTTGAATTACATGTTTAATGAAAATGCAAAAATAAAATTGGATCATGCTTACCTTTTTAGTAATTTTAAAAAATAATCATGAAAATTACATGTTTTATGATAAACAAACAAAATAATTTTAATTAAAAATACCTTATGAAATCATGTTTGATTTGAAGTAATATCATGCTTAATGAGTTTATCTTTCGAAATTATGCATGATGATTCTTGCGATTTATGGATTATCGATTTTTACCATAATGAAAGTGGCTTTTTCGGTTTTAAAAAGGATACATGTCTTGATTTGGCATAAATGATGAGGGTATACTTATATGAAATAATGTAAGTGTCATGGTTGACGATTTTATATTTAATTAAGTATGATTATTTCAAGAAATAATGTGTATCTTGATGATTTTCGATTTTGATTGAAACCATACTTGATGTCTTAATGAAAATGTTAAGAGCATGCTTAATATGAAATTATGCATGATGATTTTTGTGATTCATGGGCTATTGATCTTTATCACAATGAAAATTGCTTTTTCGGTTATAAACAAGATGCATAGTTTTTATGACGAAACTTTTTTTTTTGATCCTAAACATTGATGCATGTTTTTATTTGGCATAAATGAAAAAGGCATTCTTCTATGAAATCAATCTTATGAATTGAATTACTAAAAAGAGGAACGCTTTCTCCTTGAAAAATTTCTCTACCTTATCGACTTTTTCAAAAAGGAGAGACCAATGAACCTATTTTTTTTTTAATCTCTTGAAAATGATCTTGATTTAACGATTTGAATTTAAATGAGCTTTATCTTGATTTTTTAAAATTTATAATTTGAGATTTCTTATGCACGAATCAAGATCTCCTATGTTACTTTTATCCACTTATAGAAAAAGAGATTTATTGAAATAAATCATGTCATATGACATTCATGAAAAATTGAGACATTATGCATGAATCGAGTTCTCATGAGAATATATTTACATTATCTTCATTAAATTTTCTTGAAAAGATGTTGATGATTTTGATTATTTGAATTTGAATGAGTTTTTACCTATATCATGATCTTGGTTTCTTGGAATTACTTGAGATTTGAATTTAAATCATAAAATTTCTTTTGCATGAATTAAGAACTCGTTCTCCTACAAGATTAAATAAATTTTATCTATATCATGATCTCCTTAGAATTATTTTCGTTAATTATTTAAGAGGAGATTTGTTAAAATGGATCATGGTTTCTCTTGATTTCTCGAATGTTAGACTTGATCTTTCATTTTTTTGATGATTGAAATAATGATTAAAACATTAATGACATGAATGCATGAAATACTCATGATATTGTTTTGATGCTCTAAAATGATATAAATTTGCTAGCTTATGAGTATCATGTATGATATGATAATTGATTTATTTTTAGTATCATGTATAGAGTAAGGATGATATATAAAGTTTTAAAATTGTGCATGTTGTAAATTGAAACCATAATGATGCACAAACATATTGAAATAATGATTGAAACATTAATGTAATTATGAATGATGATTTGATATTATGCATGCAATACTTCAACTTATGATAATGATGCATGCAATGATAAAATATTCATGATGAAAAATTGTTTTGACATTCATAACTTGATTTTTCATCTTTAATTATTCATCCTTGTCATGATTTGAAGATTATTGTAAAAGGAAAAAGAGATACAAAATTATATTCTTCCCTTCTTTTTGACAATGACAAAGGGGGACATAACTAGCGTGCACAAGTCAATAAGATGCAAAATTTTGCTTGCTTACTTGCACATCTAAAGAGAAGATGCAAACGTACTTCATGTAGATTGCTTCATGTCAAACATTGTATCTTGCTAGCTTGTTATCTTGCATTATTTTTCAAAAACTTACTAGCCTTCATACTTCAAAGAGGAATAAAATATTAGATTTAAATCTAATAATAATCTTATGTATGCTTTTCAAGAAGAAATAATGTGTAATTCTGATTTTGATTGAAATCATGCTTGATGTTTTAATGATGCATGCAATGATAAAATAGTCATGATGAAAAAATATTTTGACATTCATAACTTGATTTTTCATCTTTGATTATTCATCTTTTGTCATGATTTGAAAATTGTTGTAAAGGAAAAAAGAGATACAAAATTGTATTCTTCCCTTCTTTTTGACAATGATAAAAGGGGAGATAGCTAGTTTGCACAAGTTAAGAAGATGCAAAAACTTGCTTGCACATCTAAAGATAAGCAAAAATTACAAATATACATATTACAAAAAGGGGCAAAACTTATTAGTTTGCTTATCTCAAAAGCAAGAAATGCTATCTTACAATCTCAAGTAATAGTGCTATCTCAAGAAGTAAAACTTACAACTTATACATTGCAAAATGAAGCAAGAATCGCTAGCTTACACACTTCAACGAGAAAGCTATCTTGCATTTGCTTTCGAAATTTTTGTTAGCTTATATGTTGTAAACTTGCTATCTTACTACCTTACATATCTATAACTTGATAGCATGTTCTAAATATGATGTAACACTTGTTAAATTTTTTAGTATAAGTTTATTGTCAGCCTTACTTTACAGCTTATAAGCCTTACTTGTTTTCAAACTAGCACTACTGCTTGCCCATGCCTTTGTCCTAGGTCGATGAACTGTAGTTAGTAGGGTTCCACTAGAGCTCACAGGTTTGAGTGCTAATGCCTTTCCCCGCTCTATCTTAAAGTACTTAATTTCATATTGAGAGTCTCCCCTAGAATACGAGTATCTTTGCGTGCTTGCTGGGTTTTACCTTGTACATAAAGCAACTTAGACCACGAGGAATATGCTTAGTAGAATATGCTTAGCGCAGTCTAATATGAATATAACTCAAAACTCATATCAGAGATTAACAAAACAGAGCACTTAAGTAAAAATCATATATGCCCGAAACCATAAGTAAGCTAAATATGGGCAGCCCTTACTAACGCGAGCTTACGTGGTTTGTTCCCCGAAAACATGTTGCATGGACTTTTGAATCCAAGAGTTCTATTAATATGACATATTGATAGGGGGAGTTTGTTTAAACTCCGGGAGTTAAGGTTAACTCCGTCATTAATTGGTTGTCATCATCAAAAAGGGAGAGATTGTTGAATCTCGAATTTTGATGATGAAACCAATTGATAGTATTTATGATTTGATTTGTGTTTTGAGTAACGCAGGATGCTTCGATCAGGGAGAGACAATTAAAGCAGGAAGAATTATGTTGGGCCGGAGGAAAACATGTTAGAAGATTTGACATCGAGTCGGAGGATCGATCGACGTATCGATAGAAGGCTTCGGGCCATAGATTTGAGAATCGGGTCAAGAAGAGTAGATATTGTGCCAAGGATATCGGAGTTGCAGAGGTCAATTGGCCGATTGGGCAATAGGCCGCAAGAAAGGACGATGTGCCGAAGAATCGGACGAAGCATCGATGGACCAATGACATGTCGGACAACATGATTCATGCTTAGTAATAATTATCTAGATAGAAGTGTATCTTGTATGTGCAGGATTAACTACGATAGCAAGGCATAAAGCAAAATGAAGTTCCGGAGTCAAGAACACAATTTCGTTGGGAGTTCGAGAGTTTGTCGGAAGTTCTGCCGGAACCAACCGAGAAGTCCAAGAGCTTCCCAAAGAAGCTCGTCGGAACTCGCCAAGAAGATCGTCGTGAAGTCCAAGAGCTTACTGGGAGTCCGCCGAAACATTACCGAAAGATCGTTGGAAGTTTGCTGGAAGCTCGCCGGAAGAAACCAGACTTATTTTGCTTAGAATATGTCTTAGGAATCGTAGTTAGCACATAATTAGAGTTATAATTGTGAGGTAATCCCATCAGCTCAGTTAGGGACCAATTGGGCTCGAAGTTTGGTTGGTTTGAGCTGAATTCAAGGCCCAACTAGGATGCTGAAAGCCTGGCTGATGGTGGCACCGCCTAGGGAATAACACCTCAGGAATTCTAGACGGTGGTACCGCCCAAGCTGGGTGGTGGTACCGCCAGTAGTGAATGCTGCCAACGGTGGTACCGCCCCTATCATGCGGTGGTACTGCCCAATGGTAGATCCTGTGACGGTAGTACCTCCCGGGAACGGCGGTGGTACTGCCAGTACCTAGAAAACATGGGATGAGACCTTTTTAGGCTCCAAGTTTGAATCAACTTGAAGCCTATAAATATCTCTCTCATCCCTGGTTAACTTAAACAAGCATAAAGAGTTTAAAAGTGAGAAAACATTGTAGATCACTTGAGAAATCTCATTCTCTAGCTTAAACATAGAATTCTATTTAGAGAGGAGTGTGTGCTTGTAAAGGTTGTCTCCTAAACTTATGAAAAGGAGAAGAGGGGTATAAAAGGATAGTTGATCTTCGCCCATTGAAAGAAGATCGATAGTGGATACCGGTGGTCTCGACAGAAGAGGAATCGACAGAGTGGATGTAGGTCACGATGACCAAACCACTATAAAAATCTGGTTTGCCTTTCTTTTGTACAATTTATCTTACTGCAAACCTCCTTACTGTACTTTTACTACGCCTACACTCGCATATTGCTTTCAATCTAAGCATATTTTTGAAATTGGTTTTATCGTATGAAACGAAAGAATTTTTAGAATCGACATGATTTTTACCGCTACACCAATTCACCACCCTTCTCTTTTAGCGTCGACTCGTTCCTAACACGTCCAATATTGCTTGCTCGATGTCATCTTGCAACAAAAAAGAAGAGGAAAAAGAAAAATATTTATGGATTAATTTAAAAATATTATACAATTTTAAAAATAAGATTATAAATAGTAAAAAATGATTGTAAATAAATAAATATTGGACTTATTCCATCGTTAGCCGTTCATGTGAGGACTCACATTGTCGCCCATTTTATGAAGTATCTGAGAGATCAAAAGACGCACTACTATCGGTGCCCGAATCACATACCCGCCGACTGATGACGAAATAGAATACCCGGGGCCCTCTGTGGGGCCAATGCTTTTGGACGCCACCGACACAGCTTGCTGTTCGAGATATGTCGATGCCGTGACGGCTGTGAGAATATAAGCTATCAATCTTAAAAGATTTCTTTGTTCGAGACGCGTCGCGTTTACCTGCCGATGAATTCGCTGCTTTCCAATCCGACACCGGCATTGTGAACTCACCTGCACACCAAGCCGTCTCATATAATAAAAAGATGACTTCACGTTCGTCCGCATTCCAAATAGTTCAAGAAAAAAAAGAAAAAGAAGGAAGAAATTGATGCATCATATTTAAATTGTGATAATGGCAGAGTCTTACCGCCGTGTGAAAGGGTGGAGATTTTTGGGTTTAGTGGCGAGGGAATCACGGTGATATCGATGCCGGTGGATGGGCGGTGGTGCTTCTTTTTATCTTTGCCTTTTCGCTTTCTTCCGAGGTAAAAAGCGGAGACAGAAGCAGAGATGGACAGTTCCATCGGCTTTCAAGGCAGTAGCAGGCACGGAGAACATGAGGAGCTCTCAATTCATCCTCGTTCTCCTTATCATATACTTTATCTGTGGAATGAAGTGCAATGATACCAATGACTTGGGTAAACCTTTCGATCTAGTTTCTGGTCACTTGTAAATTCTTGGCGATTACAAAATGACGACCCCCTGCATGTCCAATCATGTTATCTTGGAGGAGCATGTCATCAAGAAAATTAAAGCCAGTGTAACAATGAGTACCATGAGAAAAAACTCTTGAAACCTACCTCAATGGTTTCCCGGCATCTGCAGGCGGTGGCGGAGGGGGCAGACTATCTCGCCGCGGCGTAGGCGGAGGAGGGCACGGCCGTGGCATCGACGGCAACGGCGTCAACTCTGGAAGCAGCAATTCTGATTCCGGCTCAGGAGCAGAGGTTCCGGTCCTCGGAGCCGCCGCAGCAGCAGCAGGTCACCACGGCAGCCGTGGCCACAGTGCTGCAAGCAGGCACGGCTACCACCTCCGTGCCATGCTCACAACTACTGCGTTCTCAGCTGCCATTCTTGTGTATCAGCAGTAGCAGCACCAGCAGAAGCTTCTTCTGATATAGGAAAGCTGGTTGGTTTGGTGCAGTGCTTTCTCAGCACTTTGTATAGTAAAGCTGGTTGATACGAAGAAGCTTTGTGATTTTATGCTTAATGAAAGAGACTCCACAATCAGACATGCTTGTAAACCAGCTCTTAACCCCTAATTCTACTGTTGGAAATTGGTGTCAATAAATAATACATCATATACCTCAAGAATTCAAAATTCAAGTGTTTTGTCTTTACTCATATATGATTGAAGATCAACAATATTTAACAAGTCCCAAAAAAACAAATTAATGTGAACAACAACAAAATACAATTTAAGTAGGGCTTCCTGAGCAACACAATTCATGATCAATAAGGAGCCTAAATTAAGGATGTCAACAATTCATGATCAATAAGGAGTCTAAACTGTTCTATCTTCGGAGAAACTACCTTCGGTGAGGAAATAGTATTGGAAAAAGTTCATTGCATCGAGAGAGAGATTTATTATAAAAATATATTATATATTTATGGAAGAAAAAGTCAAATTAGTTATTGATTGGGGTTTCTTGAAAGTGAATTATTCATTTTGAATATAATTACTGTAATATATCTTTAGAGACTATATAAACCTTGTTGGATAATGAAAGATATAGAGTTTATGAAATTATAAAAAAGTTTTAAGAGAAATATAGAAGATTTAACCTTGTCCTACTCTTCCTTTGTTTAATAACTTTATCCTTTCTTTCTATCAAGTTTAACATTTAGTATTAGAGTATAGGTTAAGCTATGGCCTCTTCCAAGTACCATCCAACTCCAAATCTTCAAATTGACAAAAGAAAATTATGACATATGGTACATCCAAATGAAGATTCTTCTAAGCTCCTAAGATGTATGAGAGTTTGTAGAAGATAGATTTGTTAAACTAAGTCTAGTAGAAGAAGGAGCAATGAATACAAAAGCAATAAAACAACTCAAAGATAGAAGGAAGAAGGAGAAAAAGACCCTGTTCACCATCTACCAAGAGCTTGATGATACAATGTTCGAGATCATTACTCTAGCAAATACTTCAAAGGAGGCTTGGAAAATGTTTCAAAAAGCATTCGGTCGTATTGATAAGGTAAAGAAACTTTATCTATAAGTTTTACGAGTCGAGTCTGAAAAATTACAACAAGGTATTTCAGAAACTATTTTTGATTAATTCTAAAAAAATATTTCTATTATTCATCAAATAAGATAAAATGGTGAACAAATAAGTAATTAAAGAGTAATAGAAAAAATACTGAGATCTCTAGATCTAAAATTTGATTTTCTTGTTGTTGTGATTGAATAATCTAAAGATTTGAAAAAAATATCTTTAGAACACTTATGTGTTCCCTTCAAGTTTTTGTACAAAGAATTAAAAAAAGAGGATAAGACAAAACTATGGAGTAAGCACTATAAATCAAGCTTACTCTTAAAAGTAAAGATAAATCAAATTCTCAAAGAGGAAGAGAACATGGACAAAAAGGAAGAGAAGGCAAAAATCAAACCAATAAAAAATCTCTAAACAATAAAAGTAATGGAGAAAATTCTAGCCAGAGAAGTTGAGGCTATGATCGAGGATGTGGTCAAGGCTCTGGACGTGGCAGAACTTATAAAATGTTTGAAATACAATTCTATGTTTGTAAAAGGTATGAACATTACTCTTATGAATGTTATTATAATCCTAATACTTAAGGTGATAAGATAAATTTTATTAAGGAAGAAAAGAACAAAAATCAAGTTTTACTAATAACTTATGATAATTTGAAAGAGGATCAGTCTATGATATGATATCTAGATACAAGAGCCTCAAATCACATGTGTGGTATCAAAGAGCTATTTTTAAAAATAGATATAAGTTATTTCGGGAATATTACATTTAGTGATCTATCTCAAAGACCAGTAAAATGCAAAGGTAATTTTTTTTTTGGACTTAATAATGGCAAAGAATTATACATTTAAGATGTTTATTATGTTTTCGATAAGAAAAATAATATTCTAAGCTTAGGGTAATTACTTAAAAAAAGTTATGATATTCAGATAAAAAATATGACTCTTTCTGTTCATGATGAGAATAAAAAATTAATCATACATATGAAAATGATAAAGAATAGAATGTTTCCTCTGTATTTGTGTATTTTTAATTCGTCAAATTATTTTAAAACTAATATTGAGGACATTTCCATGCCATGACATCTTAGATATGCTCACTTAAATTTTTAGCATTTGAAACTTTTATAGAAGTATAATATGGTGATAGGAATGTCAAGAATTAATCTCCTATCAAAATTATGTAAAATATATGTCATGGATAAGCAAGAAAGAAAGCCTTTCAAAGTCAGAATAACAAAAAGAACATGACATCGACTTGATTTGGTGCACTCATATGTTTGTGACCCTATTAATCCAGTATCACTTGAGGAAGCAAGTATTTTCTCACCTTTACTAATGATTATAATAGCAAAACTTGGGTTTACATATTAAAAAAAGTTTTAAGTAAATTCAAAGAATTTAAGGATTTGGTTGAAAGATAAAGTGGTTGCAAGATTAAATGTTTAAGAATAAATAGAGGTGGTCAATATATATTAAATGAATTTAAAAGTTTTTATAGAAATAATAGAATTCTATATCAATTAACTATGTTATACACACCTCAACAAAATTGTATCTCAAAAAGAAAAAAAAAGACTATACTTAAATGAAAATATGACTATACTTAATATGGTTGGATGCATGTTAAATGAAAGAAAAATTCCTAAAGAATTTTGGGGAGATACCGTTGCTTATGCAGTTTATTTGCTTAACATATTTCCGACAAAGTGAATTGGTAATTTTATACCAGAAGTGTTGAATCTTAGATTTTGATAATGAAATCAATTAATAAATTTATGATCTAATGCGCGTTTGAGTAACACAAGACTAGCTTAAGAAGAGGCAAATTAATTGAAGTAGGAGGAATCAGACGTTGGAATTGAACATGTCAGAATATTGGATGTCGGACCGGAGGATTGGTCGACGTGTCGGTAGAAGGCTTCGTGTCGTGAATTCGAGCATTGGGCCGAAGGAGCGGATATTGCACTAAGGAAATTAGAGTTGTAGAGGTCAACATGCAGATTAGGCAAAATGCTACAAAAGAGGATAATGCGCCGAAGGATTGGACGAAACGCCAATGAACCAATGACATGTCGGACAAAGGATTCATGCTTTGTAATAATTTGTCTAAGATCAAAGTAGTTTATAGGGCTAATTGAGTTAGTTTTTGGTATAATCATGTTAACTTAATTAGGGGCTAATTAGACCTTAATTGGGACTGATTTAGGCTCATTAGGAGGCTCATTCAATGACCCAAAAGTTGGGTTAGGTAGTGGAACCGCCTATGAGTTGGAAAACTCGAAAAACCTAGTCTCCGAGGCTGTCAGGCGGTGGTACCACCCAGTGATAATATGTCAGGGCTACAGGCGATGGTACTGCTCATACCTAGAAGACCTAGAAATTTAATTTTTTGGCTCCATATTTGAAATCATTTGGGGCCTATAAATACCCCACTTGGGCAACAAGAAAGGAGTAAGAATTCTTGAGGAAAAAACTAAGTAAACTCTGCCAAAACTTTGAGTTCCTACTTCCTAGTGCTTAGAATAAGTCTTAAGGGAAGTGTGTGAGGGACTACTTATAAAAGAGTGGCTTGTAAGGGTTGTCTCCTAAACTTATAAAAATGAGAAATGAGTATAAAAGACTAGTTGATTTTTGCCCATTGAAAGAAGATCGGTAATGGAAGTCAGTGGCCTCGAGTGAAGAGGAATCGGGAGTGGATGTAAGTCACGACGATCGAATTACTATAAAAACATGGTTTGCATTTACTTTAAGTTCTTTACTTTAATTGTAAACTGATTTCTTACTTTCACTATGCTTCCATACGCTTTCAAGTTAAACATATTTCTTATACGGGCTTTATTAAAATGGTTTTCCATCGAGCGAAAGAGTTTCAAAACTGATGTGATTTTTATCGCTGCACTAATTCACCCATCTCTCTTAGTATCATTCTTGATCCTAACAATTAATATTATAGTCACGTTCTTTTCTCATTTGGTTTAACACCTAAAAAAAATAACTCTTTTCGATTTTCAAGAGGGTTAATCTATCATTTGTCCTCCTATGTTTAATGGGATGGACTACACTTATTAGAAAACTCGAATGAGAGTTTTCTTGCTTTCTATGGATTTGAATTTATGGAATATCGTCGAAAGCGATTTTCAAAAGTCTTCTACTCCAATAAACGAATGGAATGATTTGGAGAATAAAACTTTTTCTTTAAATGCTAGAGCTATGAACGCTCTATTTTGCTCCTTGGATAAAAATGAATTCAATTGAATTTCTATTTGTGAAACGACTTATGACATTTGGCAGACACTTGAAATCACATATGAAGGCACGAGTAGAGTTAAACATTCTAAAGTTAATCTTTTGATGTATGATTTTGAGTTGTTTAATATGAAACCAAGCGAAATCGTTGGAGATATGTACACCTGTTTTACGGATGTCATTAGTTTAAAAAGTCTTAGTAAATATTTTTCTAATTTTGAACTTATTAATAAAATACTAAGCTCCCTTCCAAAGTGTTAGGATCTGAAAGTAATTACAATACAAGAGGCAAAGAACTTAAACAATTTTTCATTGGGAAAACTTATTGGTTTATTGATGACATGAAATGACGTGTAAGACAAATGATGAATATGATGAACTTGAGAACAACCTTCCAAAGAATAGGAAGGACTTGGCACTTAGAATAAAAAAAGACCACTCGAGCGAAAGCTTAAGTGATGATGACATAGAACTCCTCATAAATAAATTTATAAAATTTATAAAACATAAAATATGAAACTAAGAATAAAAATAAACTTAAAAAGAAGATGTTGCCAAAGAAGAAGAAGACACTCAAAATGACTTGGGAGAAATCAAGTACCTTCAAAGATGAGGAGCAAACCGATGAAGACGAAATGATGAATTTCGCTTTGATGACTCTCGACAATAAGGTAAATTAACTCAAATGAAACTCCTTTACATTACTATGAAATTACTTGATGCTTTTCATGAGTTATTTTTAAATTAATTAGTAAAATAAAAAATAA